TGTATTATTTTTTATGTATTTAAATCAGCAAAAATATTTGTTTTTCATATTTATTTGAGAAAATAAAAATATGCATATTGGGTCTTGTATTTTATTTTTTTAAATTATTTGTTAAAACTTGGTTCGGGTAAATTTCAGGCAATATCTTGTAAAAAAATAAAATAAAAGAAATCATAGAATAAAATATATTATTGTACAAACTGACTGTAAAAACAAACAAAAGCCTTATGCAGGCATGTTAAAACTGTAAATAAATAAATACATAAAAATGCCTTTTTACTACATTTCAACATATAATTACACTGTTTTTTTTCTTACTGCATTTAAATGAAATATTATCAACAAATATTGTTGTTTTACTTTATTTGAAAAAAAGCATATTAAAGGTTAAAAAATGTTAAATAATGTTTAACATTTTATTTTATTTTTTTATTTTATTTTTTCCAGATAAAACAGAAATTACAGAAAATATAAATAAGTAACAAAAGTAATAAATTAATTAATTAAAAAAGAAAACCAAGCAAATGTCTGTATTTGTACAAATACTGACAATTTACAGCCAATTACACTGTTTAATTTAAATCAGCTAGAAAATAATCAACATACTGGTATTTGCAGCTTTTTTTTAGATTTTTCTTTTCAGTATTTCTTTGTTGTCTTCTGTGTTTCATTCCCCTCATTTTTCAAGCCTATTGATCGTTTTTACAGTGCACACCGATAGATTGATCGTCTCCGAGGACGAGCACATCCCTCCAACGCGTCAAACTGTTTCTGTAGCTTTGCCTTTGGGGCTACATTTACCGACACACGGGAACAAGACGAGGCAGAACTCAATACCTGCTGTTTGTCAGAACATTCGCCGCTCAGACGTGAAGATTGAACAAAGACAGAAACATCACACGACGGGAAAAAAAAAAACAGAAACTCAAAGCAGGAGCAACGACGGGCTTCAGGTTCTCTGAGCGCTCGGCCTCGCCTCCTCTCTGATGACAGTCGCAGAGTTGTGTGACAATGCAGGGGCAGCACAACGCATATCTAATGATGGCGGTTATGACCTCTGTGGCAGAAGAGGCAGAACCGACAAAAGGCAGTCGGGCCTGAAGTGCTGCAGTAGTTACCGTAAGCACATTATGAGTGAGGAGCGGTGGCCAGCAGCCAGGTGGGGAGAGCAGATCCAGACAGCTGAAACACACAGCGGGCTGCTGAATGACGCCGTTCAGTCAGATAGTCACCAAATCATAAGTCAGATGAATACATGTGGGGGTTTGGTTTTTGCTCCAGTTCAAGACTCGAACCCAAAAAAAGTGGCTTTTCTTTGATTGTTGTTGGTTTAAACACTAGAAAGGTCATTTTAGCATCATTTTATAGACCTAATAGCTGGATGGCATCACTATTTGTAACTTTTAGGAAGCTCATGTTGTGTTTTTAGGGTTTTATGTCGATGCTTTTTGCATCCATGCATGTAAACTCCTGT